TAAATGAAAAAAAATCATTTCTTTAATGACATTCGAAAGCGATGACTTCAGATTCAATTTGTGTCTTTCCCAACAAAGGGCTGATACACGTAAACACGCCAATATGATTAGACCGTTGGCTCATCCAACATCATCTCCATGTCAGCCAAGATGCCAATGAACGCTGTAAAACATAAGCCATAAAAATACACACTAACACACACGTGGCCCTTATGATTTATTTATTTCTATTTTCATTGCTTATGGATGCAGAAAGAAGGGGTGCTGAGGGACCGAGAGAGGTGGCGGAGAAGCATGTTTTGGAACAGGTTGCCGATGATCACAGAGTCTCGGGGCCACTCTTAATGACTTATTCATGGACCCTTCTGGCCCCTCGCGGGCCCCTGGGAACGCCGCAGATCCAACAGATGCAAGCGGGAAAGAGGGCTGGGGTGGCAAGAGATGCAAAGGAAGCGAGCCTGTAAAAAGGGGGAAAGAGGAGCGAGACAAAGTCAGAGGACAGCGACGGTGGGAGCAGCTTTGCATCAAAAAGTAGGAAGACGACAGCCGAGTCGAGTCGTAACCTTCTTGCCTGTGAGACAGCGGAGGGAAGCAAGAGGCGGTGCGCAAAGACTTCCGGGCCGGTTGAGCAGGTGACGGACCGTTGGCCCGTATTATCACGCTCATCTGGAGCTGCACCGAAGAAGAAAGGAAAGTGACTTTTGTATGGCGCAACGATGTGGATCTGGATTTTATCGAGTCCAGATGCACTGAGAGTCCAGATGTGAGCGACACAAAATACTGTCAAGCCGTCCAGAATTTAGCTTAAGGCATATGTCAAACTCAAGGCCGAGGGGCCAAATCCGGTCCGCCAGATCATTTTATATGGCCCGCGAAAGCAAATCATGTGTGTCAATTTGCTAAAATCTACACCGAAATGTCAAATTGTCAAGTGGAATAAATAATGTTGAGATTTTGCAATAATTTTGTTCCCCGATTTACACTCATTTGAACAATAATTGAACAAACTATTATCATGGACTTGTCTGATTTAAAAAAAACTAGTCATCTATTAATTTGTTGTGTGAAAGTAATAATTTTATGGTTTTACAGTCATAACTGCCCTCTGACGCAATTCCAAATCGGCCCGCGAATAAAATGAGTTTGACACCCCTGGCTTAACGGGAAGAATAGTTTTAAAAGGCCCAAATAGGCCAATGGGGGCTGCGCGCAAGAGAAACCCTCTTGGTGAAATAACGTTTCACATGGACACTTTTTTTGCAAAAACTCTTTCCCCAAAACATAAATACTCTTTCATCCGATTGACAGACAACTCGAAACGGTGACAGCCGCCTTTGAAACATTGATCACCCTTTTTTCTTCGATTCCTTCGCCCCCGTTTTTAAGAGAAAGGCAACCTGGAAAGGATTGATGAGAATCGAGGCTGCCTCACCTCCTTCCGGAATTTCAGACCTTGTGATGTTTTTTGCACTTTTTTTTTTGTTCAAACACTTGTTTACAAGGCTCCACTCGTACAATACCTCAGGTTGTTTATCTGAAATCTCTGTCTCCATCAAAGTTGTGTTCAAAGAGAAGATAAGGGCTGCGCAAATCCTTGTTAACCCGCCAGCGCAACACTTCACAGAAATTTACGTGTGCCTCATGAAAAAAAAGAAGGTAGCAGCAGCAGCAGATGTGTTGACGGAGTGGCAGATAGCCACAAAGAAGTGCGAGCCTTTGTTTTTTCTTTGTTTTGTTTTGATTGCTGAAGGGCGGGGCAAAATTTCGAATGAGCTCCTATTTTAAGTGACAGATTGCGTCAGACGAAACGTTGCGGACTGACTTCCGCTTCAATCTCGACTCGTCGTTTTTGCTTAATTGATGGGACCGTTGCCGGTTTTGCAAATCGTTTCGTTTTGACCTAAAGTCTCATCTGGTTTCGCCGTTTGTCTCATGGTGCTCTTTCTTTGGTTCTATCGGTGTGTGGGTGAAGCACGAGGTTTTTTTTAAAAAATACTTTTATTCAAAGGTATTCATCGCTGCACTTACTCTGGGTAATCCCAGGCACGCACGCACGGATCAATTGTTTTGAAATATCTCTGCCTTTGCACTTATCAAATGTATTCTATGTTAATCTTTTTGTTTTAGCGCAAGGATAAGAAAGTACACCTTCCCCCCGCCTCGATATTGTATTATTACCGTGCTGTGAGACAAAGCCGAATGGATGCGGTTGGGGAAGCGGCAGTTGCATGAGGTGAGATGCTAACGGGCCTGTTTATCTGTATGACCTCGTTGGAGGAGAACCAGGCATTTACTTCTGAGAAGCAGCCGTCAGGTTGAATGTGAACTACCTCATTGCGTGCACGTTTTTATTGAATTGTCTCGTGTCTATTAAAGGGTTCAAAAAAAAAAAAAAAAGGAAAAATCCAGTGACATTGATCATACCACGAGACAAAATGACTGTTCATATACCGTATGCTCCATCTAGCCGCATCCAGCCCCTCACCTTTGCCTCACAGAAGCAACTTTGATGCAAATCTTTCGAAAGGGAGAACTGACGGGTTCGCCGCGTAGCGTTGCGGCGATGCGGACTGGGACAAATCAATTTTTCATAGACAGGCATTGGCGGCTGGGCTACTGGGTGCAATGCATGCGATATCAAGAGGAAGGCGAGCCAAGGGGGCCAACAGATGCACTCAAACAGCCGGGAGCCTGCCAGAAAAAAAAAAAAAAAAAAAAGCTCCAAGATGCAACTTGAAAAGGTGCTGCTCTCCAATGCCGGAGGACGGCCAGTTGGCCTCTTTTTGTCATGTGGAAATACTCACGCGCATGCGAAACACTTCGGGAGTTGAAAAAAAACATTTCAAAATGTCTTCGCTGACGTCACGCCTGTCACTCCAGCCGCGCTGAAAATGGAATATACAGTTAGCTCCCGTTCATCGCGGACGATGCTCCGAGACCCAAGTGCGACAGGCGAAACGTCACGGCAAGAGAGCTTACAAAAAAATGTTTTAAATAGTCGTATATCTTCCAAATGCTTGAAACACATTTCAACGTATCGTCGCATACTTTTCATTGTATTCGTCAATGCCTGTTCTCAACCTCTTGTCGTCAAGAAATGGGAAACTATTGAATAACATCACCTTGAGGAAACAAAGAGAAGACACATTTTCAAGCCATAGCAGTGTGTAAGCTGAAAAAAAAGTTTGTTTAAAAAATGGATTGATAATGCTTCGGCGCCAACAGTGAACAACGATATATAAGCGGTTGACTGCATACCGTACGTCATTTTTTTTTTGTTTTTTTCAACTAATCACTGCACACAGAACTAGAACATTTCAAGCTATTCTAAACGTGGGATGTAGCGATCTATTTGTTGCTAACCTGCACATGTTGTGAAACGAATGCAACCATTCCTTCTTGTTAATTAGTAATGATAATAGCCCGCTTGCATTATTGAAATCATCATTATTCACATCATCACGACATGATATAGTACATGTGCATGCCGTTGAAAGCTCCTGCACAACCACAGCAATTACACAACACAAAGAATTTTTTAATTCTGCCGATTGTATCGTTTGCCTAACGATGGCTCATTTATCTGACTGCGGGGTTGTTTCTTAGCAAATATTGAAATATTATCGGCGGGTCAACCAAGCTATGTCAGAAAGGATTCTCGAGGATTCTTCAAATGCAAGAATGACCTTGAAAACCTCACGGATGGAATGAAACTTTTTTGAATCTTTGAAGACATTCTTTTCACCACGCGGCCTCAGGCGCAACGTTGCATTAAACGCTTGTGACAAAATCATGATGAAATTTTAAAAAGTGACAAAAAGTCATTTACACACATCCAATAGAGAAAGGTGCATGCAAAAATGTTGTGAACCGCTTGTCGCCAAACACGCACACGCGCATCCGTGTAGTTGTTAACACCTGCTCATATAAACATTAGCTTTGCATGGGTACTGGTGCGATGACAATAATCCATCATGAGTTGTGCCACCCTGGTATCACAACACACGCCTGCAGATGTTGGGCACACTTCCAAGGCCGAAGGCGGTAATACACACAGTCTACACCCACCCCCAACTCAATGCTTAACGAACAATGTCTCCTTCCTGATCTGTTCCACACTTACACACACACACACACACAGGTGGACGCAATCACACGGTGGCATAAAGAGGACAACCGCTCCCTCACTTGGCCACATGCGTGCAATCCTAAAGAAATATAAAGGTGAGCTACGCCGGCTGACAAACGCACACGTTTTTTTTTAACTGTCCATTGTGCGTTTACCCCGTACCGTGCCAGGTCAAATTCTGATATAGGTTCGAAGCCAATTAAACCAATTAAATGTAGCGAGCGCCATTCGTTGACGAACAAACACTGTTTTGTCATCACACATCAAAAGTGCTAAAGATGAAAGCAAAATGACACGGAGCAGATGAAAATGTTTGCCTCTAATGATGATGATGAGGATGAGGAGGAGTAGGAAAAATCGACTCGGATGAAAATGTTTGCCTCTAATGATGATGATGAGGAGGAGGAGGAAAAATCGACTCATTTTTACAGTAAGACAGTCATGATTAAAGCCACATTATGGGCAAAGTAACATGAACGGTACTTTTGGAGTTAATCAAGTGTCGTATAGTCGAGTAGCCAACTGGTGGAACGCTATCAAAGTTGCATTGCAGAAATATGAAGTATGAGTCTCCAAACAGAAACTGCCAGTTGTCTATTTGCATGTGATGAGCAATATTCATACCTAGCGTAGTTATCAGCTTAATCGTTCCATTTTGACTGGATATTTGGCACTGTCTGTCAATAGGGTGACACCGATTGATCTTGCCACCCACCGGCAAACTGGCAACAGCTCTTCACTCGCACAGGGGCGCATACTTGCACATGCATACATACTTCTGCCGCATTCATTTGCATGCACGGGGGGCCCCCGCTGTGTGACAGGTTGCTATGGTTGCGGTTGCCAGGTTATGTGACAAGAAGCAACTTACCGCATTTCTTATTGAGGCCGACGTAACAATGTCGTTGTGAGGCTGAGCTGAGCTGAAAGGGCAATCGCGCAGCATCTGCCGCACCGCAAATGAAATGTCATCGTTAGGCACGCTGGAATCACAAGCATTGCGGCGAAAGACAAGGGCACAATGCTTTAACCCGCTCCACTTGGCAGCAGGTGGAGTCAGGTACAGGTAGTTGGGCAAATACTTTTTGGAGAGGGGGTGGGGGGGGGTTTGCTTCTGGGAGGGATGCGTGTGCTCAAACGGGCTTTTCTGATGCGGGTGGGTGGACGTGTGCAGGCAAGAGAGAGCGTGCGGTTATCGGGATGTTGTGGGAGTCATACTGAGTGCGCGGCAGATAACAGCGACAGCTTCAGGTCACAAATAAGGGAAGGGCACAACTGAAGATTGTGTATCGCCGACGTCAAAGCAAGGAATGTGAACTCACGTGTATGAACTTTTGTGTTTCGAGAGATGGTTGAGTTACATCAAAGGTAGAGTTTGCAGTTTGAAAAGAATGATCCCTCTCAGGGCTACTTTTCATGCCGCTAATTTAATTGTTTTCATGACATGACATGACGATACAATCAGAACCTGTACAAAGACAATATGCAGGGGTCTCAAACTCTGGTCCTCAAGGGTCGCTATCCTGCATGTTTTGGATGTTTCCCTCCTCCAGCACACCCAAGTCAAATGATCAGCTCATCAGCAAGCTCTGCGGGAGCCTGAAAACGACCCAGATATTTTTGAATCAAGTGTGTTGGACACGTGCATGATAGCAGCCCTCGAGGACCAGAGTCTTTGACACGCACGCCGTCACGTACGCTCGCGCGCAAGCAGTCTGCCGGATGAAGAACACAGTCCCGCTGCTCTGATAGTTTGCTTCGCTGGAATAATATACTCCGGTCAGTCACTGTGTGCTAAAATAGCAATTGTTTGAAAGTTTAGGATTACCGTGAGATTGATGGCTAATTTCTATGGTTTATCTATGGCTTTTTGCATAATATGTTAGCATTAAGCTATCTGAATTTTGCTACAATATGGAACACTTTGATGATTGAACTCACTTAATCAAATGTTTCATTCTTTTTTTTGTTTGTTTTATGGCTCAATTTACAGTAGACTTCAAGCGAGGGGAGGGGAACAAAAAGCTGCAAGCAAGCACACTCGGCCTCTTTGGAGAACTATTTCAGTCCTCCCTTTTTTTGTTTCCTTAAGAAGATGTTAGACAAAAATCTCCCTTTTCTTGGCAGTGAAACAAGTGATGAAGAACTGAGAAATGTTTTCCTCCCTTTTCTTGGCAGTGAAACAAGTGATGAAGAAGAACTGAGAAATGTTTTAAAAAGTATGCTTTCATAAATTCAAATATGTTGAAAATTTTGGCAGGATAACATTCTCCAGGGAAAAAATGCTTTTAATGCGTGTCATGACTGTTCTGTCTGTCTCCAGCAGGTGGCGTTAGAGGGTCGTCCCTTCCTGTTCTGTTCCTAATCATGTCATCAGCTCTCACCTGTTAGAAGGGACTATTCAAGCCACCACCTGTTGTTGAAATATTCGCCTCGCTCACGTCTCATGTCCGAACGATTATGTTTCATGACCATCGTAGTTCTCAAGCACAATCGTAGACTGGGTTTGTATTTTCTTGTTTGTTCTGTGTTTACCTTATTTTGTAAATAAACCATTTTTATATTGAGAAATGACCTTCGTCTGCGGAAGGTAATTACTAGTCCGGAACAGTTACTGGCATATGAATTGAGATTTTTCAACAAATCATTTCCCTCTGTGAATTTATCCATTGAATAGATTGCGCCCACACACACACACACACACACACACACACACACACACACACGCACACACACACACACACACACACACACACACACACACATTCTACATCTTCTCTTAATTTGCTATTGTTCTGTTTTCATCAACTCTGGCCGCTTCAACAGGTGAGATTTGAAGGGTGTGCGCCTCTCCTAAAGTGTATCTCAGTCTAATAGACTGGCATGTTTTTTGAGAGAGATTTTTTAATCAATTAATTGCATTTGGAGCCACGAATGAAAATGATCTTGACCTTGTTACATTCCAGTAGATGAGCTAAAAGGTAGATGACCGCCGTGTGCAAATGGGAAATGCTGAGAAGGAGCGGCAGGAAGCCAGGTCATTTATCAGCGGCGCGACAGTGCATGAACCGTGGTAGCTGCTGCATTATGCTCCCTCTCATTTGCCTTATTATCTTATCTTATATGCATCATTATGGCGGATATAGCCTCGGTGATGAATAGGCTTATTGATTAAGGATGCATGGTTCCTTTTGTTTTAACACCCAGAGGAGTGTGATGGTGATGACTGCGCGCTGCATTACAGTAAAGTTCAAGAATAGGGTTGACCTTTAACCACAAGGAGTAATGAGATATTTCCTTGACTATTTTTATTATTCCTGGCTAGGAAGAACATTGTAGTGCTGGAGCAAGTTTCCTAGGTTTGAGAAGATCAAGTAGACCTGTTTTTGATGCCTTGAATAATAAGCTGGTAGAATCCTGCATGCATGATTGACGACCTCTGACCAACACAAGCCGTGGAAGTACCGTATATAAATGTCATTTTCATCAGCTGGGGATACATAGAGACAAACGCGATAATATTGGCAAAGCGCTTTAGTTAGCCTTTGATAATCCGAATATGTTTGGAACTTGAACGCGCATGCTGTGTCTCTGACAGATGACGTGCCGGAGAGGGGCTACGCTCAATGGCCTGACCGTAATGAGCGCTGGCCACTAATTAGTTTGTTGCTGGATAGCAGATCGTGCGGGAGCCGAAGCCGAAGCCCTGTCACTGGAGCAGTGCAGCGAGGAGAGCAGAGAGAGCTCCTCTAATGAGCCCTCGGCGGTGTGTTTACTGTTAACCAAAGTCATGGCTTTACACTCCGTGCCCCCCCCCCACCCCACTCCTCCCTTTCCCCCGCCAGGTGGTGCTTGCACACACCCACAAACACTCTTGGATGTTGGTCAGCACATCTGATCTCTATTCCTAATTCATGAGTGCAAATGCATGCGCAGACAGACAGACAGACAGACAGACAGGCATGCTTGGAAGCACCTCTCGGTTGTGTGCCAGCCATGGCGCCTAATTAATGTGGTTGCACTGCGAGTCGTCATGTGTGCATGAAGCACTCTCTGGTCTGACATGATTGACTTGACTGTCCGTGACTCCACAAAGATGAGTTTCATTTTTATCCATTGCCAGATCAACTGCAACTTCGTTTGTCTATTGAAAACAACTTAAGACGATTAGTAAATTGGGCGGCACGGTGGTTCAATGGTTAGCACGCCGGCCTCACGTGTGTAGAGGTGCTGGGTTCAATTCTGGCTCCGGAATTCCTGTTTGCATGTTTGTACCGTGCCTGCGTGGGTTTTCTCCGGGTGTTCCGGTTTCCTTCCACATTCCAAAAATATGCATGGCAGGCTATTGGAACTCTCTAAATTGGCCCTAGGTGGGATTGTGACCAGGTTTTGTGACGTACTCTCCAGTTTGGCTGCGTGTCTAGTCAGTTTGTATTGCAGTCTGGTGCCCCACATTGTGATTATTGCCGTGACAGACTCTTAGTATGCGTTTAACTGGTGTAAAAAGCCATGTCGTTTCACCTCTGCTTCCTCTGCAAAGTCTTTCAAGTGTCCATCCTTTATTGATCTGTGCTGACTTTCCCCATTTGTTTCATCTTGCAATGTCCCCAGGTGAGGCGGGACAGATAACAGTCCTCTCTTATTCATGGGCCTGTCGGACACGCTGACTGGTGACCTCCGTAGCTTGCCACAGGAACTGAAAAAGAAAACGGGCTGAGTCAAGCACACAAGATGGGGACCTAGCCGTTTTCATTCCATTAGGCTCACCATTGCTTCAGTCTTTTCAAAAGCATGTACTATAACCTGTACAGCCAAAAAAATTAATATACCTTCACAATCAAATCATTTTGAATTTTACAAGCATGTCATCCTCATGTGTTTAAATAAGATGGACATGGCATTGGGGGATGGGGTGGAATATTGTGACCGCAATATAGCAATAAACAACCACACAAAATGCTAATTTGTGACCATGAAATTTGTATAACGCGTGCACAAAATACTCATTTGTGGCTCCAAAATTCTACTTTCATTCCCACTCACACACACGGCTCGAGCTCTGGACCCAGACTCGTGTCTCTGAGCTGCATGAATGTCTGGCCGCCGCATCCTTCCACACCTCCATGTGAGGCCCAGATGACTTTGTCTATGACAGCGTGTGAGGTGAATGCAAATATCAATTTGCGCTTTCATGTTGTGGCTCTGAACTCTGCAGTGTGCGTGCAGGTGGTGTAATGAAGTCTCAGTGTGTGAGACGGAATGTGTTTTTGAAGACAGACTGGGTGAAAAACACAAACATAAGTGTGTGCAACAATTTTATTGTGGATTTATGACATATTGAGCCATCTGTAAAAATTCTCCAATAGATTGCGTATTCTGCACCTTCCGAATGTACATCTTGTGTGTGTGTGTGTGTGTGTGTGTGTGTGTGTGCGCTCATCTCTGGCTTGAAATAACTTGCACGATAGCAACTCAAGACTCTCAGACTAAGTCTTCTGTGATCGGCATCCACGGGTAGGCGCTGGAAACTGTACCGATTGTCACAACAACACTGTGCTCATCAGAGGTGCCAGTTCAAAACAGTTTCATCTTCTTCTGCATGTTCACAGTCCAACTGCCAACAGCTCAATAAGTTCCCAAATTCTGCATTCAAATCAACTATTTAATGGATGCCAACACACAGGCGTTGTGCCTTTGGAGAAGATGGTCTGTCTTCTCCAAAACGATCCCAATTCTTAATTTTAGCTCCGCCCACCTAAGAGTGCATCCTTACCAAAACGTGTTGGTATCTTTCTATATGTGACTCCACGGTCTGAACTGGTTGCAACTGGTAATGTGCAAGGGTGCAGATCTATAGGAATGATGCCAGGAGAAAGGTGACGGCGACAACGGCCTAGCTCAAGTCACCTAACTACTTATGTGCCAGAGAGATTTACTCTTACAGTGTTGACACATATTCCGAATCGCAAACTACGGAGAGTTACATAATCATCCTAAAGACTTGCGCTAGCCACTTAAATACGGCCCTCTTTTCGTAAGTCTTTTGTCTTTGTCACTCACATATTTTGCTTTCCAAATGCCATTTTTGGATACAGTGGTTCAGAACAGATCTTGGGAGGGGGGGGGGGGGGGTATCTTGGTAAAGGA